TGTTTACCGGATGTCGTATTTCCTCTCCAATGTATGTTTTGACAAGGTTGTTTGGGCTGTAGCCCCAGTGTTTCCTCCCTGCTCATACAAATTGGTATTTGGTCCATTCAAGAAATGATGTGGAAATTAGTCCTGACATCCCAGACAGACAAAGCAAGACACATGACAGCAAAACATATGGCTCGAATAGACATCCATATATGGCCAACACAGACCATATTCCCAGAAACTCATACACGGAAAACACCACCTGCAGCTAAAGCCAAAAAACAAAGAGTTGATGTGACAAAAAGAGCAATGTGTTACATAAATCGTGCTGCTTTAAAAGTATAGAGATAGCCAACTATATTTGAATCAAAAAAAGATGTCCTTAGAAAATGCTATAGTGGTAAGCATTGCTTTACTAGCACAGTCACTGGCGGAGTTGCTATATCCTAAATGCACTCAAATTCGAAATCTTTTTCTGTTTATTACAAATATATGTGCCATTCAGAACTCTGAATGTGTTTTAATGCTTTCAGATATCTGCCTGCATATTTATCTTAATACGATGCCATTTGAAACATGCAGTAATTCTCTCATTAAGTTTTTTTTAAATAGTGTATATCTTCTACAATATTTTATTTCTCCCTTCATATTTTCAGTATGAAATGTCTTCACGAGAGACAAAATTGATGCATTCTGATGAAATGTATGTCCACATGTTAAATAGTTCATGCATTTAAGTTGTAATATTTCATGATCCTTCAAGTTTTCTATTATGATAGCAAGATTTATAAAGTTTATTTTGTTTTAATTTTAAAAAGTATTTGTGTCTTTGTTAAATATATCTGAGTAGAATCAGTTGATATTTTTGCCTCACCTTTCCATGACAGATTATGTTAACATATACAAGGTAATCCCAATTACTTTTTTTTTTTCTTCTTTATTTTGATCTAGCTTTACACTGGATAGTATTCAGTGACTATAATGAATACCTAAGTTCACTGATACAGCATACTACTAGGATATAAACCACAGTGTGCCATTTTACCTCTATCGTTTATAATCATATAGTTCTGGAATAAAGAATACGCTTTAGGAAAAATTAATGTGTACATGTGATTGATAGAGTCATGATTGTACTGTATTGTTGCTATTTATAATAAAGTCATTATTAGATGCCTTTATGCTCATTCCGCTTATCATTTTTCAAGACAGTCCTTATTACACACTTTTATGGTTTATGTTTATGAATAGGTTTGTGATTCTGGATAAAAGACATAAAGACTATTAATTCCTATGTTACATTAGCATTGATCATGTCATTAGTAGACTTAGGCAATCAGGAGGCATTTTGTCTGATTTATTTGTGTAAAATGACTGTATAAACATTGACGACATTTCATGCCAATATGTCTTTAAGACTGATATTTTCAGTAACCTTTTTTTAAGTGTTCTTTTCTCTGAGCTCAAACTTTTTCTTTTTTTAGATATGCAATCTGAAGTGACATTGCATGGGTAAAAGACATATGACATATTCTTTTGGAGTCCAATATAATTTTTAAAATTAAATTTTATTTTTTGTGCCAGCACTCGGGGCTTGAACTTGGGGCCTTGTGGTACTTGCTTGGCCTTTTCTGCTTTAAGGAGGAGGCTCTACCATTTGATCCAAACTTCCACTTCCTGACTTTTGTTTTAAAAGTCTTTTGTTTCTGTTTTTAAACTTGTTCGGCAGGATACCACAATACATTGTCCTTAATGAAAACAAGTCAGCTTTCAATGAAATTTGTTAAGCATTGCCAATTGAAGCAACTGCTGAAATACCCATGTTGGAAATTCAATTTTAACCGATCATATTGAAAAATATCATTGTCATTATAGAGATGGTATTTTTTTCTATTATCAAAGATCTTTTAAAGTAAGTTTAATTTCTATCCACAGTACAAACTCCCACAAATTGTTCCAATTTTCCACATTTTTGTATTTCCTTATTCAAATTTCTTTAAAGTAGCCTCTTCCTATATTTAAATATTTTAAAATGAAGTAGGCTGTTGAGTGAAGATTGCATTGAATTACTTTTCTTGTTTGGGATGCTGTGTTTTATGTGGATCACATCTTTCATCTTTTGCTCAAGACTTTGCCAATATGCAAGTTTTCTTTCCTCGACTGTAACTTTTCTAGTTTGTGGGGGAAACTTGGGTGATGGTAAAGTGATTTGTTCTCATTGTATTTCTCCTCAATTTATCCCCCCCCACCCCATAATTTCCATCACTTGATTTTCTACCAAGTCTTCTGCTTTTCTTAGATTTCTCGTGTAAACAGTGTGCTGAAGCGTGCATTGGTAGCTTTAAAGAGCTCAATTTGCATATTTCTCTCTTATCTCAGTACTTGTGCTAACTTGTTGCTTTTTAAAATGTGCAACAAAACGTTTATCTAATTTTTCTTTTTCCTACCAGTGTGTTCTAAACAAGAATGCTGATAACATTGTTGTTTATGATTAGCTGCCTTAAGGTGCTCAAATGATGGTAGTAAAGCCTAAGTAATGAACGCTGCATTTTCCATTTCCGAGATGTACTGCCCTTTATTTTTATACGGACTATATTTAATAGATTGTCTAACTAAGATCACTCAGGCGATAATGACCATTGATCTAACAGGGGAACTTTGCATCAGAAGTATTTACTGCTACTGGATACAGAAGCATTTACCTATCTCCTGTGTCCTGTCTTTTGCCGGACACCAATTATTTTAAGACGGATGACATCTTTTCCTTTACCATAGTATGTCAGGCCTTTTCCAAGTGACCCAAATCTGTTCCACTTGACCACGACAGGCCGCCTAGTTCTTCCTTCCAAGTGTCCCACGGCTCTGACTTACTGTCACTGTCGCTGTCAATGTTGACTCCGTAGTTCAGGGACCACCTTTCCTGGGGGGGAGAGGGGGGAGAAGGAGGGGGACGAGGTATTTGGGAGATCCTTTCTAGGCTCCCCGCCTTGACTGCCCGGCGAAGGTTTCCACGCTCCCCCACACTCCCCCGTGCTCCCCGGGAGGGCTCCACCCGCTCCCGGTTCCCTACGGCCACTTCCTGAAGTCACCTGCACACCC